TGTGGCACAGCCCTGACGGGTGAGCCCAGAGCCGGTGCAGGGCTGGGTTACAAGCTGGTGTTGAGTGCGGGGGAAAAGTGGCCCCTTGCCCGCCCTGTGGCCGGTACCCTGCTTTGCAGCCACTCGCAGCCCACGTTGGGCTACCTGTGCCTGCTCAGGACAGCCTCGCACGGGCTGTGAGTGACTGCAGCAGGGAACACTGGCCACAGGGTGGGTGAGGAGCTGCTTTTCCCTGTGCTCTGCACTAGCTCCTTCCCTGCCCTCCCTTCCCCCCGCCCATCTCCCCATGCCTTACCTGAGCTTCCCATGCTGGGGCAGCCACGTGGTCCCAGGCCAGAAACCCCTATTGGGGCTTCCAGCTGGGGTAGCAGGGCTGGGCGCGCCCTGCTGCTGCAGGAGCCCACTGAGGATGCCCCTGGGTCCCTACTGCCCCTGGGTCCTGTCATTTTTGACAAGAACCAAGGACAGATAAATTTTAATTTTCATAAAAAATTTTTAGGGACCCTGCAGGCTGGATAGAATGGCTCGTGGGCCGTATTTTGCCCACCCCCTGATGTAAGGGCTGTAAATGATAACCTTGAAACTAGCATGAGCAGTCTTGGTGGGAGAGTTGGAAGTGAAGGATGGACCTTTTAATATTTTAGAACAAAAAGGTAAAACAGTACATGAAGTCTACTCACTATTAAATTGGTATGAGTACTATAGTTGTTGGAAATGTTTCAGTTATGACAGTATATCTGATGTGTCAATACTCTGTCATAGTGAATGTCAATAATATCTGCATTCCTCAGAAAACTAGGAAAAACTAAACTTGCAGCACTAGCATCTTATACCAGCTCATTACATACTTGAAAGAAGCAAAGAAATAAATAATATGTTAAAAGATACTTGCTCAAATCTGGTCACTTATATGAAAAACACATTTGTTGAAAGTTTATTATTTATAAAATCCCTACATTAAAGTGTACCATCTCACTTAGAACAGTGAAAACACTTGATTTTTGTATAATACATATAACGAGGCATGGTTAGCTTTTATTGCAGACCAGTTAAAAATGTTTCTTTGTTCAAAATATGATTATAGCACTATTTATAAAATTGTCATAGGTAAACCTGTGCCAAGTGGTATGGTTCCTTAAACTCTTCTGCCCAGGAGCTTGGCAAGAAAAAAAATCAGAGAGACATCTGTGCTGCTTTTAAACCAGATTTCTTCTCTCTGTGGAAAGGTATGACAATTTTTTTTTTTTTTCAGCTGAGCAGTAAAATGAAGAAATACATTTGTTCATAAATTGCTATTTCTATCTGCCTTGACAGCTAATCTCTGCAGTGTGTCCTAAAACTTGCTTCTGGGGCTAAATTTTGTCATTAGATGTTTACACTGATAGCTGTGAATAACTCTGTAATAATGTTAATTTTAAAATGCTATTTGCTTGACTTGTTTATAAAATGTTTCTGATGTTTATAAAACAAATCTGCTGTGATCAGAACATTGCTGGGGGAAATTTATATAGCAGGTTACTAATGTTCCTGTGTTTATTGGGAAGTGCTGTTCCATTATTCTTAAGGGTGTACAATCTGGAAAATAGAACTGGGCCTGCTTTTCAGCTTAATGTATGGGATTTCATTTGAGTATATTTTCCCTACAACACTCCATTATTAACCATCTAAAAAAGTTTAATTGTTTTAAAATTATACGTTGTCAACGAATACCAATTTTGAAAAGGTTTTTTGCACATTTATGTAACTTGGATAATTAATGGGTAAAAATGGTAGTTAAGAGATTTGTTAGTTTTATTGCATGGGCCAATAACTCAAGTTTCTTCACTTGTTTCTAACGCTTTTTAAATGATTTTTCTAGTCACTTAGAGTTTGTGTGATTGCTAGAACTGGATCGGCTCCTACACTAGTGGAGTACATGCAGCCATGATCCACAAGGCCATGTCATCTGACTTGTGGGTCTCCCCATAAGTCTGGAAACTTGGCAGCAGGGGAACAGTGGCAATGTTAATTGCCTCTCCCTGGCTGTCAAATTTCTGGCTTCATGGGGAGCTCTGCAGCCTGCATGACATGATCCTTTGCACTAGATTGTGCTATCATACAATGGGGCTGGGATGCAGGGTCACTCTGCAGCTGGATCATACCCATGGGCCATTACCATATGCTGAACCTGCACTAGATCAGGCCTATGGACGAGCCTTGCATACAAAATCCAGTCTGTGGACATACCCTGCGCCGCTCATTTGGCCCGTAGTGCCGGAAGGTTGAGCTCCGCTGGTCTACTGAAAGCTTGTTTTTTTTACAGCAGTTTCCTTCTCGGTCTACTTGTTGCATTGTAAAGCATGCTTGAAAAAGAAGAATACTAAAAATCTGTGACTTCTGTTTCCTCACCAGCCTTAAATGTCTCGCAAATATCACCAAACAGGGCCCCAAACAGTTCACTTAGAATACCTCTGTTACTCCCTCTTTAAATCTGTTGCATATGATTAGTGTGGCCCTGTCCTCTGAAGTGGAGCCAGGCCAGGTTATATTCAGGGTTGTCTTATATTTGGGTAAATACAGTACGTATTCCCTCCTCTGCCAGCATACACATACCTTTCTTAAAGTGCAAAAGAATCAACTATGGCTATTTATTGGAGTGCCTGTTAGCACTAGCTAATTATAGCTGATGTTATGCTTTGGATTCCCATGGAAATCAGTCTTTGTCAAGTATGAAGTGCAAAGGTGCAAGTCCAACAAGTTTAATTTCTTAAATCCTTTAATTTCAAAAGCAGACAAAATTGTTGAGGCAGCTGCTGCTGCTTAATTCAAAACAACATCATGCCAATAGGGATGAGTCCTGTGATGATGAATAGGGAAAAATAGGAATTGGAAAACAGAGGTGTTTGCTTTTGATTGAAATGTACATTCATGAACAACTTATCCCCAATTAAGAAAGTAAAGATTGATGAGCTATTGATAATACTTTACTGAATTGATAATAATAGTCTTATTTCTTTTCTTTTACAGGTGGGAGCTTTATTTGCTTTGCCTTGCAGCGTTAGCAATGTACTGATTCCATCACCCACCCAACTGAGTACAAAAAAATGGAAGGAATATATGTCCAAAAAACCTAAGGCCATCACCAGTAAGTAAGAGATGTACTATGTTTCCCTGAATTCAGGACAACGTTGAATTTAAAAATGTGCCTGACGTCTTTACCAGATTGAGCTGTTGGGGCACAGGGAAGTACCACCAGTGGGCCACAGGACAGTACCACTAATCTCTTGTCTGCCACACCTTGATGTTCTTTTAAATATTGGGAACTGGATGTGTGGGCTGGTGGGGATCCTGGCTGGTCCTCTGGGAGGGTTCTCTTTGTGGGACTCTACCTCCCCTCACACCCCACCTTACACTTCCTGGATGACACATGTCAGGTGCTGGCTCTTGTATCGACCTCCCCATTGCCACTGGCAGTTGATCACTGGCTTACTGAATGAATGTCTAGGAGTGTAAATACGTTCATTTGGGCTCCTTGAAGCCATCTTTAAATCAATTTCTCATTGGTTCATAGGTCCATCAATTAAGATAAGTCCATCTAAAGTGTGTAAGACAAATGACCTTAAATCAATTCATTACAGGTTCCTGGGTTAACCAGTCTGGATCAGTCCATTAAGAATCCATCAGATAAAATGATTTTATTTTTGATTATTTATTTATCCCAGGTTCCTGGGGCAATCAACTGAAATCAGTCCCTTTTAAGGATGCATCAGATAAGCAAAATGAAATTAATTCTGCTGGGGTTCCTACCCTGTCTTGGCTCCTCAGGTCAGGACCAATGGGCATTTTCAAGGAGGGGAGCTTTCCTTTCTGCCGCTTTACCCACCACAGTGAGAGGCGAACGCAATCCAAAAAAACAACAAAAAGAAGAGAGCAAAGGGACAGTGCCCCTGGAAAAAAGTCACAGACCCATTTGTGGTGGCTCTACCACTTTAGTCTCCACCTAGCTGTCCTCAAGTGGTTCCCTGGCGCAGCGTGTCCAGGGGTTTGTCAGTGGTCCTTCGACCACTCTGGCCACAGGGGCCTGCTTTCTTCACCCATGGCTGGCTGCGGGATGCTGCTGGCTGGGAATGCCTCCTTGGTCCACCAGCCATGGTCTTCCCCTGGCTGCCCCTCTCCGGGGCCAGAAATACCTGTCCTTGTGCTCCCTCTACTAATCTCAAGGGAGCACACACTGTGGAAACGTGGCGGCACACTCCCTGCTCCGGTCAGGTTTCTCTCCAGACCTGGGGTACATATCCCTCATTCGGGTTTCCCAGGGCTTTCTCCTGATCCTGCTCTCTTCCCCTCACAGTGGAGGACATGGAACTTCCTTGGAGGCATGTCTGAGACTGTGGAATGAACACCCTCAGATCTAAGGATCATCACAAGCCTTACCTCCTTCCACATGAAGTACAAAGCACATTTATTGTACCTTGCTTTTTTAACATAAATATATATTGCCATATATATTGTGGGGAGAAGAAGCTCTAGCAAACTAAGACATCCCTTCTGGTCATGATAGCTTTACATTCAGTAATCAGATTGAAGTTTGCACATAGCAGTCAGAAGGCATACGCATTTTTATATAGTGGGTTTTGGTGCAGCTCAAGGGATAAATACATTGCACCATGTTTACGTTTTCAAGATATTGTATTTCAAAGTATCAATCTTTTGTAGGTTGCCTTCATAAGCAATTTTTATTTGTGCCTATAGATCATTTTTTATATAGAAGCAAATGATTCACACTTGTTACAACAACTTTCCAATAGTTAATTTGTGTCATTAAATTTTGTTTTTCTAAAAGTTAAGAAAATCATAGAAAGTAAAAGAATAGAAATAAGAGAATATTTTCATAAGAAAATATCATAGCATATTTTAATTTGTGCCAAATTCATGGTAAACCTGAGGTTTTAGTAACCGTGTCCTTTAAATTCAAGTACAGCTAAGCTCATGACAAGTCTAGAATCCAGGCTTCTGATCACTGATTAGGTGATCATCATCACGTGAAGATTAAACTATACAATATATTCTTCTAATCTGTGGAACAGAGGAGAAATCCAAATATGCAAATGATTATTGAATAGGTTCCCTTGGTCAAGCTGCTTTTCTGTGCTGAAGAATTTCCTAGCACACTTCCTCTTGTTAGGTTTTCAGTCCCCCACGAAGGACTGGTTATTACCCTATGACAGTGTCTTCCCAAATACTGTGAACTAACAACTCGCTCTCAACTTTTAAGATTTCTCATGGTCCTTCATAACCTTTGTCAAATATTTGGTTGAAAGGGGAGAAGGTATAACTCACAGATCACTAATGATGGTCATCTCTTGGATCACGATTGGGAATCATTGCCTTGTGATTAAGGCTTAGCTACTATAATCATATTTAATATAATTTGCATCAATCTAATCAACATGCCCACAGATTAATTCCTACCACCTGAAGAACATCTCGTTTTTGCGTACTGTTTTAAAGGCATACTATTCCATCATGTCCAGAATTGCGAAATGTGGTTTATATTACTAGTTTATGCTTTACTTTTTGTCAAGCCAGTAGGCTAATGTCTTTAAATATAAATTCTTGGGAAATGATATTAGAAAAACTTGATGGAAAGAAGATCCTTGACTTCATTAGTGCAACTAACACTCTTTATTCTTCTCTAATGGTGGGATCACACATGTGGTGGTTTGAGTCAGATATTGTTTCTAAGGTGATATTCTTTAGCTCAGCCACAGGAGGATTAGTATATTAGGATTGGTTCAGTCCCCTGAAAAGTTAATCTATAGGAAGTGACTTTTTCACAAAAGTTAAGATGCACAAACTCCTAATATTCTTAAGTTAGGTGCTGATAATTAACTATATGGATATTGTAACTTACCATTTTAAATATCAAGGATATAATAGTGCAGGGTCCTCAGGCCCCATTCTCTATGGCATTGTAGAAGTGCCTAAGACATGAAGAGTCTGCAGGGTAAGACATCAAAGGACATAAGGAAAGTGGTGGAAAGAAGGCTACACTTAGTTTGAAGGAGGGAAATTCACAGCCTTACAAAACTGCTTAGGGAGGGTACTTGGGCAAGGTGTTTTGTGGCTAGGTAAGTTCAAGATTAAAGTTGTCCTCAAGTTCATGTTTACTAGTTATCACTGCTGTAAACTCCTGCCTTGGACCCCACCAACAGTCTACCCAGAGCCTAGAAGCAATGGTTTTTATACTATGAACTTCTTGGTATAAAGTTGGCTCTGTCCCCGTTCACGTCCTTGGCTGCTTGTGCACTCTAGGCCTCAAGCGTGAAACATCTGCCAACTGTAATCCTACAATTCCCTGTTCCCATCTTTCAGTCCTTCATCCCCCTTTCTCTCTCTCTCTAGCACCTAAGTGAAAACAAACCTTGAGGGGGAGACAGTAGTCTGCAGATTGATTCTTAGAAGGGCTCTGGCTTTGCCTGCTACAAGAGAGCTTTGGATACATCTCAATGTCTTATCTGAGATATAGGAAACCTGTGTATGCCTTTGGTACAAACTCTCTGTTATGACATAGGACCTGCCTGTTCCCGTCTATGACTCAGGCTGGTTTGTAGATTACCTCAAAATTGATCCATAATATCACTGTAGACATGCTCTGCATGAAAAGCTGGCAACATCATGACAAGGCATTCTTGGAAGAGAGGGCAAGTTTTCATAGGCTTTGAGATAAGCAACAAGTGGAGCAGGACAGAGTTGTGAGGACAAGATTAATGCTTGGAGTCAGAGGAAGTATTTGAATTGCATTAACATTACATATAGGCAGATGTGATATGGTCATAGTTGTTGAGATTTCACTGGAATGGAGATGGAAGCATGGGTAAAACCATATGAACAAAAAGAAACGGCCTCTGGTTGGAAATGACTTCCTTTTGGATCCTATGGCTAGCCTGCCTATGGTAAATTGTTAGCAAACTCTCAGTTGCGTGAGGAAGTTCTTGGAATTCATAATTTATAAATGCTTCATCAAGGTTAAAATATGCAAGAAATAAAAATGCTATTTCTTGCCATCTCAAGGAAAGACATGTCAAGACAAAAAGTATCTGAGAAGAAAAGAATATGGGTGGGGGGGAAAGCTCTGAAATTAATATAGATGGGGAAAATAGAGTACGTAGTGAGACTGGGCATCTGGAACTTGCTCTTCTTATAGCCCTAGACATTAGGCCTTGTGCAAAGCAGAAAGTATTTGCTTTGGATTTAGATGGGGTGAGGCAGACAGTGCTGGCAGCCCTGGGAGAGGCTGCGGGGGTTCGGGGGAATGATTGGGGAAGCTGAGGGAATGATTGGGAAGCTGGGGGATTGAACTGGGACCTGGGGGAGGCCCCCAATCATTTCCTCCAGCCCCCCAAAAAATTCCCCCCAGCCGCTGTGGCTTCTCCCAGGGCTGCTGGCTCAAGTTGTGGCTTGTCCGGCTGCTGCCCTGGCTACCCCCAATCTGGGGCGAGGCAAGCAGTGCAGGCAGCCCTGGGAGAAGCTGTGGGGACTGGGGGGAATGATTGGGAGCTGGGGAATTGAACTAGGAGCTGGGGGGAAGTCGTTTGTTCCTTCACCCCACAATCACACTCTTCCCCCCCCCCCCCAGCTTGATTCCACAGCTCCCCAATCATTCCTCCCAGCCTCTGTGGCTTCTCCTGACTCTGCCAGCACTGCCTACCTTGCCCTGGCCGGGGAGCAGCCAGACAAGCCGCAGCTTCTCTCAGGGCTGCTAGCTCAAGCTGGTCCGGCTGCTCCCACTGGCACTGCCTAGAGCCTGCCTGTACAGTCTATGGCTGAATCTCTCTGAATCAATTCGGAGGCTTCCAATTCTATTCAGAGAGATTAATGGGTCTCCCGATTTTTTTCGATTCCGATTTGGAGATTCAGCTGCCGAATCAGGACAAATCTCTGCCGAATCGAATCAGCTACCAAAGCTTTTCACAGCCCTAATAGACATTAACCTTTCCCCCCTCCCCTCCTTGCATTTAAATCTGAAGCTGTTCCAGAAAACATTGAAATGCTGTTTATTCATCTCTAGTATCCTCTGCTTGCTAAACTTTTAGCTCTGTTTAAAATATTATTTGCTGAGACACTTACAAATGCTTCAACACAAGAGGAATAATCCATGGTATTAAGTGATTTGACCTTTAAGGCTTAGTACAATATTATGAAGTGTTCATTTTCTGATCTTCTTTTCTTACCAGACATCTATGAAATTGATATTCTATGCTTTGTATGAGACCTGAAAAAATCATCTCTTCAAAGTTATTGCTATCAAGTTCACACTGATGGTTTTATTCTGGTACAATGCATATTATCTCTGCTTCTGTTAGGAAATAGAATGAACTATTTTTCATCTGCTTCAAAGCAGGCATTTCTTATTATTCTTATATTCTTAAGCAGAGATTTTTCATTTTTGAATTAAATCCTTCCTTTGTAGGTAGCATTTGCCTCATGAATAATCTGAAGCATTTGCAGGACTTTAAACAGTAAATGAACACTCCTGGTTGCCTCTTCCTCTCTGGAGGGGTGCCTGGCATTTCCAACAGTTTGGGGAATATTTTTTTTTCTCTCTGATCACCTAAAGGGTTTGTTTTAATCCAAACATTCAACCGGCAAATTCCATCTAGCAAATGGTCTCCTCTCCTAATGTTTGCAAAGAGCAATTGTATAGTTTTACTTCAGTTTCAAGGAAGATGTATACATTTGTTCAGGTGGGGGTTTTTTTTGTCATTTAGTAACAACTGAATTTTATATAAATCATCTTTCAGCTAAAGATGCCAAATTTTAATTTGTGAAGTGGATCACAATTTATGTCTATACGTCATTCACCTGAGCTTGCTTTAGCAGTGGAGTGGTTGGGTTTTGCTCCCTTCACTGAATTATCTGCTTCTAGCTCTGGTGTCTGAGCTTACTAGCTAGCTTGGGTAGTCATTTGCTCTGGAGTTTAAAGGAAGTGCAAGCTGGATTGAACCAATGGAAAGAAGTGGCAGAGGGAAGAGGAATGCAGATTAGTTGATCCAAAACAGAATATATGCACTATGATTTCTCTGAGGTACCTGTTGTTGGAAATGCGATAATCAGTGTTCGACAAGTTCAAGCATCTGGGGTCAACTGTTTAGCAGAATGGAGAGTTAGATGAAGAGTAACAGCAAGGTGAACAAACTAAAAATTAGCAACAGGAACATTATGCGATAGGAGAGTATCAGCAAAGCTGAAGGGGAAAGTCTACAAGACGTGTGCATCCAGCACTATTGTATGGAGTGGAGACCTGGCCCCTGAGGAAAACTCAAGAAAGGAGACTAAACCTGACAAAGATGAGAGTGCTCCGATGGATGTGTCGAGTGACAAAGATAGATAAAGAGAGAAATACTTCAGAGGATCAGTGACAGTAGTAGAGGCATCTAAACTACAAGAGAGAAGACTCACATGGTATGGACATGTTCAAAGAAGTCTGGAAGACTGTGGGGAAAAGAACTTACCAGAATGGTGCTACCAGGGGGAAGAGGAAGAGGAAGACTGAAGATGAGATGGAGAGGGACTTGAGAGAGAAGGAGTTGGAAGAAGAAAGTATGTATGACCAAAGCCAGTGGAGAGCTGGGATTTGCAACAGCTACCCTGTTTAGATGGGACAAATGAGGCGGCAAGAAGAAGGATAGTTTTTTTGGGGTTTTTTTTTAGTGCACTGCTGTGACTGTAATGTAGATATGCCCACAAACAGCATGCAGGCATACGTGGATAAACAGCATACATGGATGAATAGCATTTGCCTTAAAACAGCACACAATGTTATCCAGTAATCCAAAACAGAAAATTTCTTTTCTTATGGAAAGAACAGAATAATTTAGGCAGAATACAGTAATCCAAATAAAATTAGGTTACTACATCAGGATTAACCCTGATAACCTTATGAAAAGGATCTGGGACTCTTAATAACAACCATTTTTCTGTACCTCTTACTCTTCGTTCATTAGCATGTTGTTAGGATACAGATTTAAAATTTCGGTAACAGAAAGCGTGCCCCATCTGAGAATGACCCATCCACAAAACCAGGTGTGAATTTTCAGGCATCTCCCATTCAGGTACCAAGCTGAAGTGCTAAGTGGTAAGTGCTATGAGAGTGACACTGAGTTTGAATCTAGAATGTGGCCTACTGTTTCAATTTTGGATTTACGTGACTTTGGAGCATAAGACTATACAAAGTCACACAAAGATCACCTGATGATCTGTGTGGTCCCTTCCAGCCCCTAACAATCTATGAATCTATGCCAGGCTGCTAACCAGTGAATTTAGTATGTATGCCAGGGGCTCTCAAACTTTGATACCACGACCCTCAGTGCTGGATGGGGGCAGTGGGGGACGGGGAGCTTGCATGCAGCAGCCGCCACTGCCATCCACCACTTTGCGCTGCCACCATGCACTGCTTCCCTGTGCTACTGCGCCCACCCCCTGGGAAGCTTGCAGCCCCCTTTTAAGTTGCTCGCAATCCCCTCGGGAATCATGACCCACAGTTTGAGAAACCCTGAAGTATGCCATGAATGCATAACCTATTAATAACATTTGTCATGGTGTGAGTAAAATTGATACTGAGAATATGAATGAAAATATGATGCGAGGGGATAACTTATTTTGAAGCTGTATTTGTGAAACATTTTGTTTCTCTTCCTGCTTACTTAGTTCCAGAAGTTGAACTGAAAGGAGAATTTTGCCAATATTATTTCTTGGTACAAGGCAATGGCTTTGGAGGCTGTAAAGCAACCATGATTCGTTCAGCCAATCAGATTAATGGAGCAGCAACTCTTGCTGTAATAAATGGAAAGCTAAAGACAAATGCAGAAGAAACAGACTCAAGTAAGACTTAACTGTGGTTTTTGAGATAGTTTGAAGGCAGCTAGTAGTGTTTGATGCATTGTAGGTGCAGGTTTACATTAGTTCAGCTAGGAAAAAAAAGGGAAATAGGAAATTCTGCTGTTTTTTTGTTTTTTTTTTTCTTACTTTAGCAATATTCGGACACTTTAAAAAAAGGTGCAGGTTTACATTAGTTCAGCTAGGAAAAAAAAGGGAAATAGGAAATTCTGCTGTTTTTTTGTTTTTGTTTTTTTTCTTACTTTAGCAGTATTCGGACACTTTAAAAAAAAAAAAAGTGATAGAAAAACTCATAGGAACGCATTACTTCAAAGTAAACCTTTTCAGATCAAGTTAAAGTGTGTGTGTGTGTGTGTGTGTGTGTGTGTGTGTGTGTGTATAAAAAAAATTTTTTTTTTTTTTTTAAAGATACCAACAAGGAAAGTTCAATCCATTACTCTTGAAAGTGAACAAGCAAGGAACCGGAAGGGTTTTTGTTTGGGGGGGTGGAGGGTTTGTTTGTTTGTTTTAAGCTACAGTAAGAATATTTAAATCGGATGTGGAAAGTTGTCATGAAATGGGACCAACCCAAATCTAAAATTTATTTACCTAACTTGGCAGGGTGTGGTTGTGAAAACATTTCTGTAGGCAAAGAGACGCAATGAATTTTGCAAGAGGTCCTTTAGCTGATGTTCACATAGAAAAGGAGTACAGAGTTTGCTGCCACACATGCCCATTCTCTCATCATATACTGACACTATCGGATGCAGGTTATGACTGGCTACCTGCTCCATATTTATGGAGGATAGGGTAAAGAAAGTGGGGGCATAACTGAAAGTCCTTGCTAATAGATTAGGGAAGTTGGTTGTGTTCTTTTCAGACATACAGCCCTTTAATGTAATTCACAGGAGCTTTAATGTCCAAGAGCTGAATGCACTAATGTTAATATTAAAGATGTAACTTTAATCTGTAATGGCATGGGAATACAAAACTAATGATGAATCTGATATTTCATCTATACTATGCTTATTACTATCACATGTAAGATGGATAAAGAATGTCAAATGCATAGAGACCCTGTCAGTCTTCATGCTTGAAAAGGCTTTTCAGCCTTCCATTTTAATTTGCATTTCATCAGTTAATTTCCTTTCTTTTATGAGATTTAACCAGACTTGCATTTGAATTCTGGCTCCTTAATATGAAATTATTAGGGGTGTACTGATTTAAAGATTTTTTGGGGCCAATACTGATGACCGATTATTAATCAGCTGATACTGATCTGATTGCCAATATGCAGCCCAGCAGCTTGGAAAACAGAGTCCAGCTGGTAAGTCTGTGGGGGAGAAGGGGCATGGGGGAGGGAAGGGGGTGGAGATGGGGGCAGATCAAGGCCCCTGCGGTGAGGGGGGCAGGGGCAGGCTGGACAGCTGGGGC